TTAAAATAACAGAGTGGGAAAGGAGGACCACACATTGGTCTCTGGATATTACAGCAGCCAACGATACAGGGAGGAACGTGCAAGCTCTGTTACCCATATGGTCCCTATTGTGATTGTTTATGGAATGGAAACCAAGCTACCTTCTGCACAGATTCCCACTGTGTTCTAACCTAAACCATTCACCAAGTTCCTTTGGAAAGTTTGTTAAACACCTTGTCTAAAGTGTTCTAAATAACAGATATCAACATTACTATTTCAAAAAGAAAGAAAAGTGTTATTTGTGTGTCCAGAGCTCGTGGTGTTTTGGAATGATATCAGGCATCAATGACCACATACCACAGTATCTGTTTGAGACTTTACACTAAGGCTCATGCCGGTGCTTTCTCACCTAAAACCTACAGTTGAGGCTTTTCCTCTCAGCACCACATAAACATGTGTTGACACCACAAAGTATATGAAGATAACATGAGATGATCCATTCAATACAACCAATTTTCCTGAATCTTTGGGGGCAAGTTGATGACAGAAACAATATGGGTAGTAATAGTTAACATCTTGTCCTTCAGGAAGAGTACAAGCAACCTCACAGTTTATAAAGTTCCTATTTAATCACAAGTATTACTCCACATACTTCACATTCTCAGAATACACAAATTAATCACATTTTTAAATTGACAGAAATGATTCTGCAGCAAACATCTTTTCTAAATGTTATATAGTATAATAAATGGTCAAGCCTTCACAAAAGATGAGAGTATACTACAATGTACCCTGACATATCTTCCAAGCCAAGTTTAACAGTTACTGAGATGTTTCCAGATTTTCTTGATCAGTCCCTTTATTTTATTCTTTGATAAAATATTGTAAAGGAAACCACAGTCATCTTTTCACCAATACATCAGTATTCATGTTTCTAAAAACGAAGACAGAATCACATATAACCACAAAGCTTACAATCAAACCCAAGAAAATCAAACAATAGCTGCAATCAAGTTCCCACTTTTCCAAGAAAATCTTATATATAATTTGCTCACAATGGGATCCAAAAGGTTCTAGAATAAACACATGAACGAACACACACACACGCATGCACGCACGCACATATATATCTTTCCTTCTTCCTCTTTTTTTATTTTCTATCCCACACTGCTAAAACAAATATTTTTATGGTTAAATTAACCATCACTCTGGGTAACTGCAGAACTTCCTATCACATCAGAGAGAAACCCATGGCCAGCAGCAGCTGCTCCTCCTAGGCTGTGGCAATTGCTAACATACTTCCTGCTCTACAGGGCTTCCTATTCTGGATACTTCATATAAACAGAATCACAATCACAAAACTTATCTTTACTGTCCATCAGGTAGACACCCCAGACAGACTCATATTCATGTGACATGACTCATACATACAACATACTAAAATGAGCATCCCTCTTGTCCCTCACACAGATATATAGAACAAGTGATAGTCACCCATGAGATGAGCTCATGGATTATACATCTGTGCAATAAGACATTTTTGTAGGCCACAATTTTTACAATGAAGAATAATTAACTAATGCTGGCTATTCATCATAGAAGCCAGAACATGATGAGGCTCAATGTCAAGCTGCAACTCCCTGCTTTCTTCTTCCCTTTTAGTGAGGCATAATATAATACAAACAGGAAAACAGAGAGGACCCTTAATGTTTGTTTTTTAGTGTATCACTCATACATAGACTTCATGGGGAGAGCAGCAGAGAACACTGGTTAAGACACAAACTATAGGCTGCACCTTCTCCAAAACCAGACTGCCTGAGCCAGCCTTTTCACCACTACCTACGTGACCTTTGGCAGGTACTTCATCTCTATGTCTAGGTTTTTGCCTGATATTACAGGGAAGAATGATTGCTTCAGCTGGCTTTGGACAATAACAATTATTACTCTTTAACTGTCATCAGCAAGTCAGCCATGGCACCTCAGAGCCCATGAAGCCACTGTAGTAAAGGGACATATGCAGAAGTTCCTGGTGGGAGTGCTAAGCTTTCGGCATCCCAGCACACAGCTGCAGGGACCTGGCAGGCAGTAGAAAAATTGGTCCAGGAAGAACAGTGAGACAGAGAAAACAAATTCCAGCTACACTGGTAATTATCTCAATTTTTTTCAAGGGTTTCTCTGTGAAACAGCTCTGGATGTCCTGGCATTCATTTGTTGACCAGGCCGGCCTCCAACTCACAGAGATCCACCTGCCCCTGCCTCCCAAAGGTATACACCACCACTGCCCAGCTCAATTATCTTTTTTATTGACAAAATTTTACATACATTTTGATTACATTCTTTCCCCTCTCAACTCCTCCAAGATCCTCCCCACTTTCCTGTGAAGGCTATTCCTGGTTGTCAACTTGACTATATCTGGAATTAACTAAAACCCTAAAATGGGGCATTCCTAAGAGAAGATCCACTCCTAATCTGAAACTTTGAGGTGGGAAGACACACCTTCAATCCAGATCTTTTAGGGTGAGAAGACCCACCCCTACTGTGGGCTACATCTTCTGCTGGAAGCCTAAACAAGGACATGAAAGAAGAAAATTTTTGTTCTTCGTCTGCTTGCTTTCACCTCCCCAGCAAGCCTAGCCCATTCCTTCACTAGTCTTAGAACCTACTTCTTCAGGATTCCAGCATATACTAAAGACAACATCCAGCCCTGTGGACTGAACAACAACTGGATTCTTGGAGCTTCCATTCATAGGTAGCCATTGTTGGACTAGCTGAACTACAGCCTGTAAGTCTGTCTGTCTGTCTGTCTGTCTCTCTCTCTCTCTCTCTCTCTCTCTCTCTCCATGTATACATTATATAGAATATATATATTCTCTCATTCTATAAGTTCTGTCACTCTAGAGAACCCTAACTAATACACTATCCAAGCAACTTTGCTATCTCTCTCAGAAAACAAAAATTAAAACAAAACAATCGATCATTTTTTTTGTTATTACAAAATAGTTCCATTATAATAATGGGTTCTAATAATACTAAAAATTAAGGCTCAAATGCCAGTCATTTTCTCTTCCCCCTTTGTTTTCTCCTTGATTGTCACAAGTCAGGGGATGGAGAATTGGCTTTACAGTTTAGAGCTGTTGCTGTTGAACAGGATGAGGGTTCAGTTCCCAGCATCCACATGGAAGCTCACAGCCACCTGTAACTCCAATTCAAGTCAAATGATTGCTTCTGACCTCCAGAGGAAGCAGGCTCACATATACCTGCAGGCAACACACACACACACACACACACACACACACACACACACCTACCTCTTGAAAACAAACAAACATTTCTTCCTTTTCTGTCAATTCTTAGTGCTCAAACATAATATGGCAAAAAACAAGATAATTTTACTAACAGCCCACTACTCTATTTTATTTGTTCTTAAGAAACTGAGTAAAACTACCTGGTAGAAGTAGAAGCAGACACCCACAACTAATCACTGAACTGAACTGGAATCCAGATGCAGAGAAG